GGGGCGAGCCAGGCTTTAGGACGCCTCCTCGGCCGGGCCGTTCTCGCGGTCGAGGTACTGCTGCAGGGCAAAGGCCAGGCTGGAGGGGTGCTGGTTGAGGGACTGGGTGAGGGACTGGGCCGGGTTGTTGAGGAGGGACAGCAGCTGGCCGTAGATGTCCAGGCGGGAGGACACCTTGCTGAGGCTGACCATGTCCTCCAGGCTCAGGGGGGACCCCTCGAAGGAGCCGCCCAGGTTGACCAGGCGCCCGTAGGACTGGACCACAGACAGGATGTCCTTCAGCTGGGCCGGCTTGGGCAGGTGGGCCATCGGATCCTCCGGGGTCGGGGCAGCCGGCTGCTCCTTGGAGTAGATGACCATGGTCGGGCCGTGGAAGAAGTTGGCGATGCGGTGCAGCTTCGGCCGGTCATTGAGAACCGCCCGGCGGAAGATGTTCGACGGGACGGCCGTGGCCGAGAGGCCCTTCTTGCTGAGCTCCTGGCGAATGGCCTGCAGATCGGTGGTGTTCAGGTTGTTGTACTGGACCACGGCGAAGAAGGGGCGGTCTGCGATCTCCAGGCACTGGTTGTAGCGCGTGCGCTTGAGAATGGAGAAGGGGCGGTTACGCACGAAGGCGGCGGAGGCGGCGGAGGACATGGCGCTTGTGCGGAGGCGTGTATGAATGTGTGTGTGTGTGTGTGTGTGTGTGTGTGTGCGGGCGTGCGGGCGTGCGGGCGTGCGGGCGTGCGGGCGTGCGGGCGTGCGAGCGGCCGGCAGAGGGGGGAGGGGGCGGGGGGAGGGGCGGGGGGAGGGGAGGAGGAGGGGAGAGGCGTGATGTCAGCCCAGCAGCCGCCTTCCCGGGAGCCCTCCCTTCAGGCGTGCAGGGCCGTGCCGCTGCCCGGTTTCGGCGGCCAGATGCGTCCGCGAGGGAGCAGGCCGCTGATGCAGCATCGGGCTGTCGGCGTTTGGTTCGGCCGTGCGACCGGACGCCCGGCATGCTTCCCCCTCGCCGTTTGGTGTGGCTGTGGCGCCCACATCATTCGGGCATCCAGGGTGCCGGCCCGGCTTCGGAGGGCGAGCGGGAGGACGGCAAGAGCGGCTGGGTGGCCGGGGCGGCGCGCCCCCCGTCCCGCCCGCCCGGCCCCCCCCCCCTCCCCCGGGTGCACACGCACTGGTCGGCGCTGATGCGATGCCTACCGTCGACAGAATACAATGCCATTCCCCAGTCCATTCTAATTTACCAGATACGGGAATTGGGAGTTTGTACTGCCAACGGTGACACCATCGCTAGTCGCCGATCCGGTTGCCCTGCGTCACCGGGCGGGCGAGGGAGGGGATTTTTTTCCTCGCCCAGCCGTGGACCTCGGTGACCGAGAGATCTGCCTCAGGGGGAGGCCCGGGGGCGCGCTTGGACGAGTGTGCTGCCAGCAGGCAGAGGGGCGGATGTGAGGGACAGCTGGTGGGGACGATGCCCCTCGTCGTTTATCTTCGCTCCTCCCTTGTGCCTGGTGCGCACACTCGAGGTTGCGTGCAAAAAAAATTGTATGGTGTATTTTGTGCGTCTGACAGGGGCCAGCTAAAATCACTGTGTCGGGGAGGAGGGCATTCAGAGTGCTTTTTATGCGGGGGAGAGGGGAGGGGGGGAGAGGCAATATGAGGAGATAATGCCAGCAAGAAGAGGGGAGATGGGCGTGTGCATGTGCATGTGCGCGTGAGGTCGCCGGCGTCGGGAGACGCGGGGGAGGGCACAGCTGGGCGGGCTCTGAGGGAGAGCGTATCCCTGGCGACAGTCAGGGAGAAGGAGGAGGGGGGGGGGGGGGCAGCGGGCATTAGGCCGACGGGTTGGAGTCACCCTTGTTGCCGTCGGAAGAGGGCGACGTCGGGGGGGCGGGCTTCTTGCCGGTGAAGCGCGGGGGGTAGCCCATGCGGATGAGGGTGCGATCGACCATGCGCGCGGCCGGCGGGGTCAGGGCCAGAGTGAGCGGGGTGCGGATGGGGCTCGTGCACTTGGCCAGGATGAAGGCCATCAGCAGGGTGCCAGAGTTGGGGTCCAGCGTGGACAGGTCGATCAGCCGGTCCAGGCCGACCTTGCTCATGAGGCTGGTCACGTCGACGCCGCTCTTGAGGGCCACATACATGCTGGAGATGGTCACCATGTAGACGGTCGAGTGGACACCGATGGCCACCGGGCCGTAGGTCTTGGTCATATGCTTCATCTTTTCCGCCAGCGAGAGCTTCTTCTGCATGGGGGGGGGGGGGGGACAGGGGGAGGGGGTGCCGGGTCAGTGGGCGTGCGCGGCATGCGCGGAGCCACGGGCGGGTGGTGTGTTTGAGGGAGGGGGGCGCACGGTCTCCTCCTCCGGCTTGGGGGCGTCGCCATTCGGCGGGGGCGGGGTCTGCTGCCCGGCGGAAGTCTGGGTGGACATCAGGCACCGGGGCGCGAGGAGGCCCGCCGAGCGCTGGGCGAGCATTAGATGGCGCGTAGCCGGGGCAAGGCCGCTGCGGAGAGAAAGCATGGCGGCGGAGGGGAGAGGTTGCAAGGGGTGCGGGTGCGGGGGCGGGGGCGGGGGGAGAGGCGAGGGGGGAGGGGGGAATCTTTCTCCCTCCCTCATCCGGGGTGCGGGGCGCCGGCAGCCGAAGACATGGGGCGGTGGCCGCTGTCGGCCGGGTGCGCCTGTGTTGTGCGATGGCGTCTGGAGGGGGGGGGGGGGAAAAAGAAAGAGGAAGCGAAAAGCCCAAGCGGATCTCGCGTGGAAAGAGGCTCCGACACACATGCGTGCCGGGTCCAGCCCCCCCCCTCCTTCCCCGTACCCCCGAGGGACCCTACAGCACGAGTCGACCATATGGCGGCACGCCCACGGCGGCCCGGGGGGGGGGGGGGAAGCGGAGCCGGCGCCACCCGGACCAGGGGGTGAAACACGTTCAGAGTGAGCAGCCTGGCAAATTCGGCGGCGCTCCTGTTTCTTTCGCAGGGAGCGGGCACGCTGGCCCAGGAGACGGTCTCGGGGAGCGGGCCTGACACACGTGGACAGATCACATGGATTGTATTTTGCGATCGGTTTGTTTGTGCCTCCCCGTGCGCGCATGTAGTACATACCACCATTTTTCGCTTGTGTATGGAGATGGCCCGCGAGCTGGGCGTCCTCGTCGCTGGGCCTCCTTTCGCCGGGGGGAGGGAGGAGGATCCCCCCCTCGAGCCGGGCACGGCAAGCTATTCTCGCATCTCTTGTTGGTGTGGCGGCTCCGTGCCATCCGGCAAAGGGAGGCGTGTCGCGGCGAAGGAGGAGGAGCGCAGGAGCAGGAGCAGGAGCAGGAGCAGGGGAGAGTGCGGATACAAAATGGGCAGTTTTAAGGTTGTATTGTTTTCCGTCGACCCTTGGCCCCCAGGGCGGCCCCCCCCCCCCCCCCCCCCCCCCCCCCCCCTGGCCAGTCCGAGCGATCTCTCACAGAGACGACACCTCGCGTGGACCCTCTCCTTCGTCGGATGCAAGCACGCGGTACATGAGCACATGCACGCTCTTGTTCGGTCCTTGTGTGCAAGTGTGCATGCACACTTGGTTCGACTCGTGTCCCGGTATGGGTCCCCACACCTGTAGACGGGGGTGCGAAAGAGAGCGGGAACTAAAGAAAGAAAGGAAGAGAGGGAGAGAGGGAGAGACAACGAGCGACAGGCTGGGGTGTGATGAACATCACGACGGGGAATCTACAGGACATTTGAGTGTGCGTGTGTGTGTCTTTGCGTGCCTGTGCGCATTTGCAACAGGGCAGAAAATGCGAACAAGTGAGGAGGGCGCGTCAGGGATAGGGAGGCGCCTTGCAGCTGGTGGGAGACGGTGCCTCGGCCATGGCGGCACTGATGACCTTGGCCCACGCGACCAGGTCGACGCCTGGCCGGGCGGCACGAGCCTTCTGCACAAACGGATGTCCGAGGATCTCGCCGGTCTCGGGGACCGTGCCGAGCAGCATGCTCGGGGTGGGCCGAGTGGCGTCGTCCTTGATGAGGCTGGAGGTCGGGTATTTTTTCCCCCACCCCCCCGAAGCAAGATGCCATATGTTAGCAAAGGGCAGAGGAATGCAGGACGAGGCGGGGGTGCACACACGGACCAGGCATCTAGGAAGTCCACGAAATCTTGGGAGAACGGAGGCGCGTCCTTGTCAATGGTACCGTCGGCATTGCGCGGCGGGTGGTCCGACAGGCGAGGGGGCTTCTCATTGACAATGTATGAAAGCAGCTCGATGATGGAGAGCTTCTTCTGGGGCTCGACATCACCCTGGCCCTCTGACCCCTTGGAGGGGAAGGGGAACCTGTGGCCGGAGGGGGCGTGCGTGGTGAGTATGACGCACAGCGTCGGTGGCAGGGGGGGGGGGGAGGGGGGGGGGTGTTTGGAGGGCAGGCTGCCAGACGCACCGACCGATGGCAAGTTCCATCATCGTGAGACCGAGGGACCAGGAGTCGGACTGAACACCGTAGTCGCGGGCCTGGATGCGTTCGGGCTGGGGGAAGAGGAGGAGCAGGGTCAGTGTCGATGTAGAGGGCATGGGCTCTGGGCGGGGGGGGGGGGGGGGGGGGGGGGGGGGGGGGGGGATAGGATGCACACGCACGGCCATATACCACTTGGTCCCGACGAAGGTGTTGGCGATGGAGTTAATCAGCTGGCCGCTGACACCGAAGTCGCAGATCTTGATCTCGCCGGCCGTGTTGAAGAGGATATTGGAGGGCTTGATATCTGTGTGTATGTGTGTGTGTGAGAGAGAGAGAGAGAGTACGTCGAGGCGAAGGCAGGGGGACAGAAAGAATGGTGACGGGGAGTGGGGAGTGGGCGGACGCGCGCGTGCACACACACACACACACACACACACACACACACGGTACGTACCACGATGCATGATTTTGTGGGTGCGGTACAGGTAGTCCACGCCCTCCAGGACGGCCAGGGAGATCTGGGCACAATAGTGCTCCGGCAGATGCCCAACCAGACCGATGATGCGATCGAAGGACCCGAGATCCATGTACTCCATGAAAACCGAGATATCGCCGTCGTCCCAAAAGGCTGCGCGAGGTCGGCACCATGGACAGGTGAGTAAGGGGGGGGGGGAGGGGGGTGATGTGTCACACATCGGAGAATGAAAGAGGGAGGACGGGACGGGAGCAGACACAAGCAAGCGGGGGCGCGCGAGGAAGCCCCGTTCGAGGGAGAGGAGGCGGAGAAGATGAAGGGCCTCCTAGTGGGCGCGCGCCCTCACGGTGACGCACCGCCATAGAAAGTGACAATGGTCGGAGCATGGCAGTCCTTCATGAGCTGCAGCTCGCGCAGAATGAGGCGCCGCTCCTCCGGGCCGGCCACCACGTGGTGGATGATCTTGCGGGCCAGCAGGCGCCCGGTGACCGTGTGTCGGGCGCGGATGACAGTGCCGCCGGAGCCGGCGCCAACCTCCTTGATGTTGACGACATTGCTGGGCCGCAGCTCCAGGGTGTACTCGGTGTTGATCTCCAGCGACTGGAGCTCGGAGGACAGGTCGGCCGCCGGATCACTCTGGGCCGGGTTCAGCACCTCCGGCGGGGCGAGTGTGTCCGTCGTGAGACTATCGCGCGCGCGCGCGCGCGAGGGGGGGGGGGGGGGGGGCGGGCGGGGTGAGATGCAGAGGCGTGTTAGGAGGCGGTCGTGGGGAGCCGGCGGTGGCGCGAGAGGCGGAGGCGAGCCGGCACGCACTTGAGGCGAACGCCGCCCGTTTTCTTCCGGCGGAACATCTATAAAGGGACTGGGCACGCGCGGGAGTGGGCAAGAGAGAGGTCAGTGGCCGTAACCGAGGAACAGCTCGCGATGAATGGGGCAAAGAGAGAGAGAGAGGGAGGGAGAGAGGCAGGGAGGGGGCGTGAGCGGGGCGAACATACGGTGCGCGGAGAGGGGCGAGGCTGGCGAGGCGAGGCGTGGCGAGGTGGGATTAGGGGGGAAGGTATGTGCCCAGCGTGAGGCGGGGACGGGCGCGAGGGGGGGGGGAGGAGGAGGGGGAGGGTGTGTGGTTGACGACAGGTTTCCAGCGGAACCATCGCCCGTTGGGGGCCGCGATGAATCATCCACCCCGGGTCTCGGAAGGGTGCCGGCCGCCACGGGAGGGGGGTATGTGCTTGAGCGGCGAAGGCCGGGTCGACGGGCGGGGGGGGGGGGGGGGCACTTCCGCATGTGGGTCCGTGCGCGTGCGGGTGTGTGTGTGTGTGTGTGGAATGCACCGCTAGGCCCCGGAGGCCGGCCGCGCCCACATATCCGCATGCTCGGCCCTCGTCGTGTGTGGAGGAGGAGCACACATGCGCTGTATGGGGTGCGCCATCGAATGGGCTGGTCGTGGACGCTCCGCGCACGGGCGCATCAGTCCCCCCGGGGCGGTGGCCGCCTCCTCCCCTGTGCCGATCCGTCCCCCCCCCCATCGAGATCTTCGGCCGGAGGCCCCGGCCCTGCGCGCCGGCCGAGGGGGAGGAAGAATCAATTCGGGACAATGCCGGCTAGTGCAAGCACACAGGCCGCGGGGGGGGGGGGGGGGGGGCCGCCCCCCTGGCTACCGGGGGAGCTGCGAGATATTGTCAGGCTGCGCATTCCAGCCGGTCGCAGGCCGCCCATTCCTGCCAGCGGGCGGCTGGCCGGCGTGTTGGCGTGCGTCGCGACGGTGGTCTTCCGGACAGAGCCGGCCGCGGCCAGGCGTCCTCCGGGCTGGACACCGTGGCGACGCCGCCCATTCGAACGCGGACCCGAGAGAATCAAGCCGCGGGAGGGAGGCCAGGCCGAGGACGCGTCCGGCCGGAGTGGCCCCCCCTTCCCCTCCGGCTGGAGGGGCATAATAAACGGGCCGAGCGTCGGGTCCGGAGGGTCTGATACTCCAGCATCCCATCCAGGGCCCCCCGCCCACATCCTGGAAGGCCCTCGGCGCGCATCATGGGGGAAAGACGGCCGGCGCCTCCAGAACGGCCCGAATTAACACGCCCAGTTGGCTGGAGATCAGCTGCACGGACGGCCATCACACCACACCTGCCCCGGGCGGGCTTGTTCGTTTTTGTGGCCCCAGGAGGATGTCTGTTCTCACTTGGGCACCAGAACGGCAAGTGAGTCGCCTCCCGTTCGGGCGTGGGCGGCCTCCGCGGGGGAGGAGTCCCCCTGCACCGTTTGTCGCCCAGGCACGCGCACCTCCTCAAGAGTGCTCTTTTTGTGGGTCGCTTTCTATTTTTCACGCGGTCTTCCCACCCTGCTTGGGGCCTCCTCTGGTCCCGCGCGCGCGGCCTTGGTGCCGCCCCCCTCCCTCGCCCCGCCTCGCTCTGCCCGGGCAGTGGTCGTATGGCCGGTGGTGTATTTCTCGCGCGTGCGCGCCGGCGTGCTGCTACAGGCCCCCCATATCCGCCCCCTGCATTCAGGCAGAGGGGGCGCCAGGCGCGGGGGGCTCCTCCGGCGGCAGGTCCGGCGGTTGCTGGGCCGCACGGGAGGCGGCGCGTGCGCGGGCGGCCGCACGCGAGGAGGCCGCCGCCGCCGCCGCCGCCGACGCCGCACTGGCTGACCGCGTCAGGAGCGTGGTGTCGAAGAAGGAGGAGGCCAAGTCGTCCGAGTGGGAGAAGGCAGCCGCCCCGGCCAGGGCATAAGGACCGGCGCCGGCGCCGGTGCCCCCCATGGCGCTCGACCCCGGGGCCGGCCCGGCGAGCGACGCATGGTGATGGTGCATGTGCGACAGGAACCCCGAGTCCAGGAGATGCGCCGCGGAGGTGGGCGATGCCGGCAGGGCGACCGACTGCAAGGCCGCAATGATGGCAGTCTGTGAAGGGATGATGAGGTCCGGCCGGGCGCCGGGGCCCGTGGCGGTGCTGGTGTTGCTGCTGCTGCTGCTGCTGCTGTTGCTGCTGCTACTGCTGCCACTGCCGGCGGTGGAGGTGCCGGCAGTGGCGGCGGGCCTGGCGGAGGGGGCCCCGAGGTCGGGGGCCGAGGTCGACTCGCCGCCCGGGTTCGAACCGGAGTCCGAGCCAGGGCCCGCCCGGCCAGTCGGGTCCATGGGAGACCGGACCTGGGGGGTGGGCCCGGCAGGGGTGGGCCCGGCGCTGGAGCCACCCGCCTCGTTGGCCACCGGCAGATCACCCAGGTAATTGTGCTTGGGTTTGAGATCGGCCGCCGACAGCAGGGTCGGCAGCCGGGACCGGGGCCCGGGGTTGGCCGACGTCCCGACAATGGTCGGCGGGGCTCCGCCCCGGAAGCTGCTCGTGCGTGACACGGCCGCCGACGGGACCGCCGAAAAGGCAGACGGGCCCATCAGATGCCCTGGCAGGGGATGGGAATGGTGCTGCGACAGATGGTGGGGCTGGTGATGATGATGATGATGGTGGTGGTGTGATAGGGTGGCCGGCTGATCGATGCTGCCGCCAGCGGGGGGTGGCGGCTCGACCAGCAGGCTGGCGAAGGGATCAGGATCATTCAGTCGGTAGGCCGAGCCGCCGGCCTGGGCAGGATCATCGCCGAGGCCGGCCCCGGTGGTGGTCGCCGTACCGGTTGACGAGGACTTCTGGTGGCCACCGAGGGCCGTGCCGGAGCGCGCGCGACTGGCCGTATGCGGGGTCACGGTCGTCAGCGAGGCGAAAGGGGTGGTCGAGCCGGACAGCGAGCTGCTCATGACCCCAGGCGTGCCACCAGTGCCAGTGCTAATCCGACTGTAGGAGAACACCAGCGACAGGATGTAGATGGGTAGGACCTCCAGGAGGGTGAAGTACACGGCATTAAACCACCACACGAGAGTGTAGCTCTTGAAGACGACCACCACCAGCAAGATGACTCGGGCCAGGAAGAAAGTCGGATAGAGGATGGACACAATCAGGAGCTATGTGAATGACGAAGAGCGGCCGGGGTGGGTGGGTGAGGGGGGGGGGCGGCGAACGGGCCGATGAGCGAGTGAGTGAGCGAGTGAGCGAGTGGGTGAACGAGTGAAGGAGTGAAGGAGTGAGTACAGGCCGCATCAAAGCGAGGCAGGGCGCACGGTGTTCATGGCTTTGGTGTTGGACCGGTTGGATGTGGTGGTCTGGCTGAGCTTGCGGAACTTCTGGTACAGCAGTATTCCGTAGACGAAGAACCCCAGCGAGATGACCGCATATTGGATGATGGAGATGAGCTGGATGCCGATCTGCGGGTGGGGTGGTGGGCCAGATGACGACGACAGCAATCACGATGAAGACGACGACGACGACGACGACGACGAAAGAGGGACAGGATGTCAGCGGGAGCAGGCCAGGTGGGTGCAAGAAAAAGGGCAGAGAAAGGGAGCAGCCGAGCAAGAGGGAAAGGCAGGGCCGGCGCACGTCGATCGGCGTGAGCGAGGGATTGCACGGCTCCGAGCCGCTGCCATCCAGCGAATTCCCCCCCAGGCAATAGGGATTGTAGGCCAGCCAATTGACCAGGAAGAGGGTCAGCAGCACCAAGCACAGGGCTCCCATGTAGCCGATGTAGTAGGGCCGCAGGCGAATGGTCCGCTCGTAGGTAGAGTGGTACATCTCGGCCCAGTAGTACAGCAAGACGTTGTAGGCCGAGAAAAAGAGCACCGATGTGGCCATGTCGGTGATCAGGTAGAAGGGCAGCGACACCGACAGGAAGGGCTTGAGGGCAAAGTAAACCATGCGCACTGTGGATGGGTTGGAATCAGCGTGTGTGTGTGTGTGCGTGTGACGGGGGAAGGAGGAGGCGAGGCAGGGTCATGGCGGCAGCGAGAGCGGGAGGAAGGCGCGCGGCAGATGCTCACGTACAGATGCACCCCAGCAACAGCGAAAGGTGGAAGAACTTCTGCCATTGGCGCTTGTCGGAAGGCCCGGCCATGGGGGCGCCGACGCGCGGGGTGCCCGGGCCGCCGGCAGAGTGCGGCGTGCCCGACCCGCCAGCCGAGAAGGACGCCGGCAGGCCGGCCGCCGAGTACCGGTGGTAGTGGTGCACGGCCAGCGAGTGCCGGTACGGCCCGTACCCGAACATCTCGTCATGCAACCGCGGTGACGTCTCATCCACGGACGCGTAGAAGGGGCCCGGCTCCGGGGGCTCACCCATTCGCAGGGGCACCAGATGTGGCGAGGAGGACATCGTGAAGTCCATGCTGCCCGGGACACTGAGGGTGGACTCCCGGAGGCCCGGCCCGGAGGGCTGCGCGTGCGCGTGCGCGTGCGGCTGGGTCGCCAGATCGCCCGGGGAATCGGTGGCGGTGGTGGTGGTGGTGGTGGTGGTGGTGGTCGTACTCAGTGACCGGTGCGCGCTGCCATAAATGTCCCCGGAGGTGGCCAGCAGCGGGCTGCACACATCGTGCTCCTCATCCTCGCCAAGGAGGTCGGTGCCATCGCCGTTGATGCTGCTATTGGTGATGGAGCCCTCGCCGATGGGCGAGTGGGACACCTCCACCGTGTTGCGCGGCTCCAGGGACAGCAGCTGCCGGATGAGCCGGACCCCGGCGCTGTCGCGATAGTCCCAGCCCAAAGTCAGGGCCTTGATGCATAGGATCGCGATGGTCAGGTACAGGAGCAACACCACGAAGTCCAGCGTGATGCAGGTGGCCTGCATCCAGGTGGGGCCCAGGTCCAGGCAGGTGAGGGGGTTGGTGTCCTCCAGGGACCCGGACGCCGAGGACGAGGCCGAGGCCAAGGCGAAGGACAGGCCCAGCCGGGAAGTCGGTCCGGGGAGGGAGGTCACCATGGCAGTGATCAGCGCCACTCCCGGTGCAAGGGCGGACCCGAGTAACCGGGCGCTCCACCCGGCCGTACTGACGACGGCGGCTGAGTGTGCCATGGCAAGGGGGAGGTGGTCAGACGAGGCGAGGCGAGGCGAGGCGGGGCGGGGGG